AAGGGAGCAGCTTCCTCTCTGCCCCAGCTTAGGGCTCCAGCCTCCTGCCCTGCATCCATGGTCTCCACTTCCAGTCTTCCCTGGCCTGGTCAACTCATATGGAGATCATTGCAAAACTGAGGCCCAAGAGCAGAATATTAAATCTGAACTTGTTATGGTGTAGCCCTTCTTGTGGTCTTCACAATGAAACATTTTGAGGAAAAAACCAGCAAATGGATCAGTGGCAGAGCTTATTGCAGGGTCAGTGTTTTAGACTGTACCTGTGATTCCCAACATACCAAGGAAATGTCTATTTCACAATGATTATTTCTCATATTAACATCTTCTATTTATTCTGCTAACTCAACATTTTCCATGTTTCCACTCTGCCCCTTGTTCTTCTAATTTTTCCAACAACCAATTCATTTGAGTCATACTGCTGCAATCCCATTCTGCTAGCAATGTGAAAAAATAAGTCTTTTATTCAGAATTTTTCATTCAATATAAACTTCATACTACATGATTCAGCCCTATTTATTTACCTTCTTTTAAACTGTTCTTAAACTCGCCTCCCATTTAATGTATTCCAAACAGAGATGCACTTAGATTCAGATAACTGCAGTATTCACTTTGAGTATTTAGTAGAAGCTCAGAGTTAGGAACATCTCGGGAATGGAGGTTGTTCGTAACTCTGAACAAAACTTTATGGCTGTTCTTTCAAAAGTTTACAGCTGAACTCTGACTTAATACAGCTTTGAAACTTTACTATGCAGAAGTAAAATGCTCCTTTCCTTTTTTCAGTAGTTTACGTTTAACACACAGTACTGTCTCTGCTGCTGCCTGATTGTGTACTTCCGGTTCCAAATGAGGTGTGTGGTTGACTGGTCAGTTCGTAACTCTGGTGTTTGTAACTCTGAGGTTCTACTGTATTATATGCAGTAATTTACCTTACACAAATTTGCTTTGGAAACATATAAAGGCAGAAAAGAAGAGGTTACTCACCTTGTGCAGAAATTGCAGTTCTTAGAGATGTATCCCTAGGGGTGCTCCACTTCAGGTGAACATGCGCCTCTTGAGGGGTATGCACACCTGCTGTAGAGCACCCATAGGGACAGTACTCAAAGAAGGTGTCATGTCAGCAGACAATTACATCTTTCAGTTAAGTGAGGAGGATTTACACAAGGGATTAGTTAGGTCCAATTTGGTTTTGTTTGTTCTTTTTACTTTTAGGAAATTTAAAGGCTGATATGTCAAGTGTATTTTGGCCCAGATCTTCCCATCCAATACCTGATGATATAGCTCCAAGACCATGTCATTGTAGATCCACGCCTGGTTGTACTGGTATGCAGGAAACTGTTATGGTGCTAAGTTCCACACTGTGCAGACTCCTGGCCTCCATTTGCACAACAGATACATGAAATTTGGCTCCCGGAGAACTTCAGCATTGGTGGAGAAAGTTCCTTTGTCCACTTATGTCAGTCATGTCTTTTTTGCCTGAAACAAGATTCCATACAAAAAAAACCCCATAAAGACAACCAGAAAGAACAGATAAATTGCAGAGATACCATTAAAATATCACAGGGACTACATAGAAAGATGTAGAAAGAAAGCCATAGGGAGGAGACAGCAAATTAAATATGAGCTTTTAGTGCAAAGCTATTGTGAAAAGCCAGTATTATTCTTGGATGTATTTGTAAATGATTACATGTAAAGTAAGAAATATGAGTGATACTCTATTAGCCTGGTGTGGCTCCATGTGAAATATTGTATGCAGCCTTGCCCGCAATTTTTTCGGAAGACTGTAGGAGAACTAAGGAAAATACAGAGGGAATCAAAAAACAAACAAGGATAAGAGATGGAGACATATGAGGAGAGACTGAAGGAGCTACATTTATGATAATTAAAATTAGACACAGAACAGACAGTCAGCAAACAAATCTACCCCTGCTTTCTGAAATGCCGGCTACTGTCTCTTAATTGAGGTTGTACCAGATATTAAACTGATACTACATTTGGTTAGTTAAGAAAGAAGGAAATTCTTATCTTTGTTTTCTAGACTATAATATATCTAAGGACTGGAAAATTATCACAGCCAAGAAATATTTCAAGGTAATACTGTAAATGAAGGGAATTAATCACAGTCTCAGAGGATCGTAGCAGTTGTACCACTAGCCTGGAGATGAAAAATGAAAAAATTATTAAAGACAAAGAAAATGCTACATTAGTAAGAGTAACTTGATGGTGGTTCACAATGCACCATACCTACAGCTCTTGAAAAATGGCTTAGACAAGACATGAGAGGGAAATATATAGGGATCAAACTTGTAAAATACAGAGGATGACAGCATCAGCCTTAAAGGACTAAGTGGATTTGTTCTTTCTGTGATTCTCTCATGTCAAAATCACTAATAAAATGACAGATGGATGTTCGTGATTGATAAGAAGAGACTGCTAGTGCTTGTGAAAGGTGCTACAGTGATCACAGGTACAACATAGATGGGGGCCTCCTAAGGTTCCTGAATCCTGACCACGAAGCAGGAAATCCCTTCCAACACCTTATAGAATCATAGAAGATTAGGGTTGGAAGAGACCTCAGGGGGTCATCTAGTCCAACCCCCTGCTCAAAGCAGGACCAACCCCAACTAAATCATCGCAGCCAGAGCTTTGTCAAGCCGGGCCTTAAAAACCTCTAAGGATGGAGATTCCACCACCTCCCTAGGTAACCCATTCCAGTGCTTCACCGCTCTCCTAGTGAAACAGTGTTTCCTTATATTCAACCTAGACCTCCCCCACTGCAACTTGAGACCATTGCTTCTTTTTCTGTCATCTGCCACCACTGAGAACAGCCGAGCTCCATCCTCTTCGGAACCCCCCTTCAGGTAGTTGAAGGCTGCTATCAAATCCCCCCTCACTCTTCTCATTCCCCCCTCACTCTGCAGACTAAATAACCCCAGTTCCCTCAGCCTCTCCTCATAAGTCATGTGCCCAGCCCCCTAATCATTTTTGTTGCCCTCCGCTGGACTCTCTCCAATTTATCCACATACCTTCTTATAACGAGCTAGTCTTGAAATATTTTGTATAACTTGTTCAAACCTTAACCACAAGGGAGGGGCTGAAACATAAAAATGCAAATATTAATGTATGTACTTACAAATGTAATTGGACCTTAAAATATCTAATGGTACATTAGGTAAGTACTGTAATGGAATTCTTGGACATAATACAATAATGCTTTTTCAACGGGTGCATTGTCACATAGCCTTGTACTTCAGACTGGAAGTAGCTTTCTCCCATGCCACATTTCTGACTTCATTTTAATGTTTAATTCTTTCCAGACAGTTGCAAAAGAGTTAATTCTCTGCAGAATTTGGCAGCTGTCATGTGAATAAGCTATTAGTTATGCTGCATTCCTTTTTTACAACATCCCATTTCAGAAGCTTGCCAACAAAAATCTCAGGAAATCAGTTTAATCAGTGAGAAATAGTTTGTTAAAAGCTATAACATTTAAAGATTTCCCATCCTTTTGGAAAGAATCCAAAATGCAGTACTTGAATAGCTTTCCTCCCTTTTCAGTATCTGACAGATTTGTTTGAAGGATTTCATATTTGAAGAACTGAATATCACCATTAGAATTAGAGTGAGTTACTGAAAATTCACAATTTAATAAGAAAAACATAACACTCTCATTACATGTGTTTCCATTTTCAACTTTTTGGAGTTTTCTTATGAATTTTATGTTTTGAATACCGAATCCAGGTCCCTGTAGCAAAGTGTGGGCTTGTATCTCAGTGGAGGGAGCAGGGGATGCAAAGTAGAAGACATTCACACCCATGTTCCACAGTCACTCCATGAAGCATACCTCCACCCACTTCCAACAATGCCAGCCAAATCTTGCTCATGTGAATGAACCTGTTATCAGCTGGGAGGAGGCATATGTCCCTGTGAATGGGGGGTGGGTGGCTGGGCAGATTTACTCAGTAAGTGCAGATGTATATAATGAAATGTTAAGCAGGGGGAAGGATAGCTCAGTGGTTTGAGCATTGGCCTGCTAAACCCAGGGTTGTGAGTTCAATCTTTGCAAGGGCCATTTAGTGATCTGGGACAAAAATTGGGGATTGGTCCTGCTTTGAGCAGGTGGTTGGACTAGATGACCTCCTGAGGTCCCTTCCAAGCCTGATATTCTATGAGTATATGCTGGATCTGTCCCACCACCAAAGATTGGCCCATTGTACTTTAACCTGGTTTCACACACATTGGGTGCTACAGAGACTTGGGCTCAAACAGTAGAGAATGCAGCAGCAGCTTTCTGATGTGGAAGGTCGAGATTAAGGAGATATCCCTCTTCTATTCATATAATCTGTCTGCAAAGTCCATATTCTTCCTTCTGAATTTAGTTTTTGAAACAAGTACTTCATTGATCTTTAAAACTAAGTCAACACCATCAGCCTGGCTCTCAGGAGCAAAATCTATAACAAACCATTGCATGTACATATGTGAGAGGGAAAACCTCTTCTGCTAACATCTCAGGAGGACAGTAAATAAGAAAACAAATCAATTCCTGGCAGCTGTTTCCTATTTTTATAATCATAATTATAAACCAAAATCCTGGGTTCGAAGAGCCCTGGAATGTTAGGGTATTTGAAATCTGAACCCTGCTCTGCATCCACATTTCAAAATGACACCTGTATTTCTAGTCAGCTGAACTGAAAGCTTACATCTGAACAGTCCTGAAGGTTGGGAGGGATTGAAATATGTTTTTTGTGGCTTCTTTTCAACATCATATTCATACCAATTACTTCCCATTTCTCTTAGCTACAACTGAGTGCTAGTGAAGATACTAATTTGCCTTTATGACCGGATGAAGTTGTGGGCTAGGAGTGAAAAAGATGCAAAGTGGGATCACCACAAAGCACAGGAGAACAGTAATTTCAGCAGAAAGATGGCAGAGTGATCCTGATTGTTAAATCTGGTGTTAACTAGCAAACTCAATAAGAAAAGGCTCAAATGTTAGCAAAACCACCTTGCTTCCATTCTGAATTTCTCTTTTTATTTGTAAAGACTGTCATTACAATTGAAAAGGACTCAAAATGGACTGATGTACACATCATTGGTGCTTCATGATGGACCTGATGACTCCCTGAATGGATATTGCTTCAGCTTTGATTTTAAAAAATGGTCTAACAAGAAAATCTTTAACTCCACTATTGATCACAGGTGGCAAAAATGAAAGAAAGAGAAAAAGAAATTAAACCAAAACTACCGTTAAGTTCATAACATATACATTGTTGGCTGATGACACTGGTTCCAAATGTACAATAAAGCCCACAACACTTTATTACTATGAGTATGATTATTGTGATTGTTTTTCTCATGTTGATCAACTTGCTTTTGAAGGTTGTTGTTTTTGTTTCTTGGTTTTAAACTTGCATAATAAACATGCAATGAAATATTTCTTTTTAAAGTGTTTTTCAGTCTTTCTGTTTTCATACAAAGATTTCATAAAGTTGCAGTGTTGCATCAGAGCATTACCAAAATAAGAGCAAGAGCAAAAGAGGAAGGTAAATGTGAATTTAGCTTGATGAGAATAACCTACTCTTGTCCTGAGACACGCCACTGTCTTATTAAAAAGGTGTGCACAGTCAAACCCCTCCCCCCACAACCTCACCAAAACACAAAATAAATATTAACTGGGGAGAAAGGGAGGGCACAAAGAAAAGATAAGATGTCGTCATGCACTCATCTTCTGCATAGCTCAACCCACATATAGTAAGGCACTATTTCCCCACAACTTAGTGTCCAAAACAATCCTTTACAGTGCTTTGTGAACTATATAGTTTCTTCCAGGATGATGAAATAAATAGATTGAATAAATGTCACTACCACATTATCCCACGTGTATTCTCAGAGTCAAGGGATTCATCTGGCAGTCTCATAAAATAATTGCCTCTTTGTGTGCGTGCATGTTATGTATGTGGATTTATGTGTGGGTGTATGTTTTTCCCCCCATGAGTTGCTGTTTTAAGTTTTCATTGTTCTTTGCTCCATTGTTCTCAAAGCAAATAAACAGGAAAAAAAACCCAGCAAAGTCAGGTAATCAGAAACACAGCTTTGGTGCTCCAAAAAGCACACAGCTTTGGAGAATCGAGAAATCAGTTATTCCCTAAAGAGCTGGGAAATGGATGGACATATTTTCAGTGGTGATCCTCATTCGTATTTAGTTGAGCTGGTCTTCATACTGTTTTCGGAAGCAGTCACCAGCAGGGAAAAACTCCCAGCACCGTTCTTGATACATTTTCCATACATAGGATTCCTGCAAGACACAGGAGATTTAAATAATTAATCTGATTCAGTGAGAGTACATTAGCCACCCATCTTTCAAAAAAGTCTACACGCTGCTCTAAATTTTCTGATTCAATTCAAAATTGATCTGCTGTATTTGAACCTACATGTGATGGAACACAGTAACAACTGAGTTCATTTTAGTTTAGGCTTTTGGATTTCTATCTCCTGGATGAAAGTATTATAGAAACACATATATGTTAGGCTAGGGAGTAGTTTAAAGAGACTCTTGAAGAGCTCAAGAATTTTGACCTTTCTGGTGAAATAAAAAATAGAGACAAAACAATTAGTTTTGCTCTTTTATGTCCAGGAGAAACTTGAAGCTCAAATACAGTTGCCTGCAATACCAAACTGTAGCTAAGGATTAGTGTTTTAATGATCCTTAAAGGAACCCCAGCTGAATTTCTACATCAGCATTTCCAACATGCCTGTGTACAATGTATAAAATAATACAATGGCTTTAACGATATCAGTTTCTGGTAGAATCCATAAATGGGAGCAGTTCCCCCTAACTATAGGTTTTATCCCCACCTGTTTTAACATATAGTTCACTGTCCAAGGGCTCTAGTCTTGTCCTGATGTAAAGCGCTTATGCCAAATATATCCCTACATTCATTGAATCTGGTGTATTCCACATTTTAAGGGTGACTCTTCAACTTTTGAATAATACAGTAAAAACAAAACAAGACAGCATTTTATTGTAGCAAATACCAGAGCCAGGAGGATTCAGTTGATTAGATAGCTCAGAGGCCTCTCTCATTCCCCACCTCTAAATGAAAGCATCGTATAACTAACCAGACTGGAGTGATTATTGGTAGTCACTGTCTGGACTCAGTGTATACAGTGGGTCAAAACACACAATAAGTAACATCAAACAATGGAGCAAACATAAATGCAGCAGTATTTTTCCATAACAAATATTATCAATTTACAAAACAGAGGTAAACATCCTAGTCTAGTTTAACATGTCATTGTCCCAGGACAAAACACGTATTCAGAAATAGTAAAACAAGTTTATAAAATGTGCACCCAGTCAAGACTGACAGGCTGTATATAGACAGAACATGATAATTGTAGTTCAGTATATTTGTCAGATTTCAAAGAGAACAGCTTAAACAAACAGAGCAAAAATGTGCTGTATGCCTGTGGTGTACTGCAATTTGTTGCTCTGACAGCAATCTGTGTGTGTGTAGGACCTGCAACTACCAACCACTTTACCGATCACTCTTACACAGCTCTCAGTGGGAATTCCAGCTGTCTGAGCATGTCTGGCACACTTTTTTCCTGTTGACAATTGTAGCTACAAGAGGCTTCAGGAAGTGTCAAAAGGTTTGGAAGAACATTTCGAAGAGCAGTGAAGGCAAGAAAAAAAAAATCTTGGTAAAATAAATCTTTGGGGCTTCATCTTCCAAAGGGTTTACCTTTTATCTGCACCCAAAAAAGCATGTAGGCACCTACATCTGGACTCAAAATGTGAATGTTTGTATAGAAAGCAGATCTTTACATTCCAGTTTATACAATTCATGCACATAGATGCTCATTCAAAAAAGGAAAATGTGGCCTGTGAAGCAGGCCTAACAAGCATCCTTGCCAAAAATATGGCTTAATTTTGGTTGCCCTTGTGGAGGTGTAAAAGGAACGAGGGCGAGGAAAGTCTCTTCTCATCATGTGCACCTGTGCAAGATGCAACCCATGTCACAATGTTTGTCGATTTTGAACGCAAGGAAGCATTAGTGCCAACAGTGTTTCACGTAACAGGGGTGTTGTGAGGAATAATACATGCATGACTACTACAGTGAGGTGAGCTTTATAGGTACGTAGCTAGATAGAAAGACAACCCAAAGAGGGCATAGGCAGGGCTCCACCTCACAGTAGTGCAGCTGGTCAGCACTGTGGGAGAACCTATGATACACTTCCCAAAAAAAGAAGTAGGAGGAGGCTCTGAGTACACTCGCCTCAGAGGACATTCTCTCTGGCCACATCCCTCTGGTATGGTGTATCTCTCACCATCCATGGCTGTGCCATCTAAAGCCCCTGCAGAGTCCACTGAAATTAACAAAAAATAAACGAGAGTCCGCCATTCTCATCTGTTCAAGAGTGATTTGGAGGTGGTGTGCAGCAGTGTACAGTGTCTCTGCACGGCCCCTGTGCTGGATTGTTCCTTGGGTGAGCCAGCCCTATTCTGCATGGTGGTGATAGGGGGGAAGGGAATGGATCCACAGTCCTGCCTCCTTGCTCTCCAGGTTGGGGAGACAGAAAGTGAGCATAGGGACTAATAGGCTGAGCTGAGCAAGTGGTTAGAATTTCATTTTGGATAAAATGTTGTGAAATTTAAGAAGCTTTAGTTTTATCTGTTCTTCTCTTAAATGAATGTCACCTGCCTGAATTTCATGTGTATCTGGGTTGTGTGTCATTAATGGACACACTGTTACACATTGTACATGATGAGCAAATTCTCCTTCCCTTGCCAAATTTGTGAATGCTTATTCCAATCTAAAAGTTAGAATCCAGTTTGTTATCCTCATTAAAAGGTGCCAGCCTCACTATGATTGTCCTTATGTCTAATAAGCCTGTCTCTTATGGAAATCACCAGCTTTCAATATTGCTTATACAATACCATGAGAGACAATGGTATTTTACAGAGAAGGATGGCACTGTCCTGGCTTTGAAAAGAATACAATATAAATTACAAATGACCAAGTAAGTAATAACAATAACAAAGGAAGCAAGGAAGATAGTCAATAGGAAAAAGTCTAGTGACTCGTTATTTTAATGGGATGTACGTATCTTGTTAGTTGCAATTTTTCTTTCCTGCTTATTTTGGGGAGAAAAGTTTTAAGGGTACCAGAACAGGTGCAAAGGTGCTGAAGAGGAGGTTAACAATCAAACTCTGGCCAAAATAAATGAGTTTTAAGGAACGTTTTGAATGAGGTCACTTGTTCCACAGGGAGAGCTTCACACGATTGGTAAGAATTCTCATCTAGTTGTGCCATAGTGAACATTCCTGACTTTTATCACTAGCACGTTTTAAATAGTACTGGAGTAAACAGTGCTCACTTACCTGCCCTGTATGCTCTGTTTCATCTTTGTTAATGAGATACATCAGAAAAAATCTACAGACAAAGGTATTTTCATCAGAAACAAGCACAGGGAAAGATCAGAAAACCAAGGTCAAATACAGATGGATGTTTACCATTATATTTTATAGAATAAGAATAATTCTGTTAATGGATATACAATATACGCATGCCATTTAGAATTTTAGATATGTATTAAACCACATACAATCTCAACACTTCTGAGGTTCACTCATCATTCATTTTTACAAGCTGATTACAATTAATAATGGATGACCCTCAAAAGAGTAAGAGATTCAGGTTTGGTTTACTATAACCATACAGCAGTTATGATGCTTAGATGAAGCTTTCCCAATGCTTCTAATATGAAAATTATTACTGCATTTTCTTGTCCCAGACCAGTGAATTAGGGCCTTACTGTACACACTTATGCTGGTGAATAGTCAAGCATTATTCAAGATGATTAAGGGTTTCAGAATCAGTTTATTAAACAGTTTATTAAAGAGGGTGCTTTATTAGACCTTGTGGTTCAAACTAGTCAATACAGATAAAAATCTGACAGCAGAATATAACCCTGTGGTTTTATTAATACTCTAGGCTTGATGCTTTGGCATATTTACACACAAGTTGATGATTTCATAATCTAGCTCATTTTTATATTAAATCCATTTCTCTAGACATGACATCTCTCTCTATAAAATATAAACAAAGCACGACCACTAATTTTGGGTGCCCAATTTGAGGTACCTAGGACCTGATTTTTCAGAGTACTTAGCATTAGATAGAACTTTATATATTTAAATGCAGCTTCCATTGACTTTAGTTGCAGCTGTAAGAACCAAGCACTTCTGTCTCAAGTTGGGTATCCAGACATAGGCGCCGACTCTGTGGGTGCTGCGGGGCTGGAGCACTCACAGGGAAAACTTAGCGGGTGTTCTGCCCCCACCGGCAGCCAAGCTCCCCCCGCCCCCCGCCCCTCCAAGCACACCGCATCCCTGCTCCTCCCCCTCCCAGCACTTCCCGCCCACTGCCTAACAGCTGTTTGGCGGCGCTTAGGACTTTCCAGGAGGGAGGGGGAGTGGGGATGCGGCACGCTAGGGGGAGGAGGCGGTAAAAAGGTGGGGCAGGGACTTGTGGGAAGCGGGTGGAATTGGGCCGGGGCGAGAGTGGTGCAGGGGCAGCCAGGGGCAGGGACAAGCACCCTCCGGGCAGAGGAGAAGTTGGTGCCTCTGCATCCAGATAATCAACAATACACAATTAGTGACCACTTGTGAAAAAATTAGTTCAAATGGCTTGATTAGCACCACACAGGAACTCTATAGCATAGACAGTGATAGAATCCAGTTCTCCAGGGCTGCATTCCCTGCCTTAACTGTGAGGCTGTCCTGTTTATTCTAGCTGTTCCCTGCTTCATTTGCTATACACCTTCCAGTTTCTGCAACAAGTAACAGTTTCTTTCACTACACAGTGCTAATTCATTCCCAGAGCAGGGCTCATCCTGTGCACTGAATGAGATAGAGGGCCCATGGAATAAATACTGTGCAATCATGCAATTAAAGACTGCATCATAATACATATGCATAGTGGGGCTGAATTAAGGTTGCACAGGCAACCTTTAAACTGGCATTTCCTATCACAATGAGAAAAATGGAAAGGAATCTTTCTCTGTATCTCTCTTGTTCACTCATACAGCATGAGTGCATATAAAATCTATACAGTGGTCTTTCTCCCTTATTTTGTGGGACTGATTAGTTAGTTGCAAGGGCTGATGGAAGTAATGAGTTATTGAAGAGTTCGTAGTTCTGTACTTACAGATAATTGGCCAAGTTGTGCTCCTGCAGGGTGTGTGTTTCAAAGCCATGGGGCACTGTGTCAAAGTAGTCATTGCCTATCCCACAGATAAAGCATTTGGTCTAAAAAAAAATCCAGAAAATATACACGTTGTTGAAATGCTCTATAAGAGTGCTAGCTTCTTTGGAAAAAATACCCAATAAGCACACAACAATTTATTTGGAAATTCTGAAACATGAAGTATAATGTGTGCTTAATAAAGACTTTTGCTTTAAGGACTCAGCCTGAGCCTCAGCCAAGCACATGAACAGAAATGTAATTGCTGTCACAATCACTTCTTGATGTTTGGTAAAAAATCTTTGGCATCAACAACTGAATGGGAATAGATTGGGAGAAAGGATGGCATGAATTAATCAAGGCTGAAAAGCAATTTTTCCTTCTTATTCTCTCCAGGCTACCTAAACGAATATAAGAGTCACTGTAGTCCACAGCAATCTTTACCTCAAAGGCAGTTATGTTTACCCAGCTGAAACGGAATACACCCTCAGTTGAGATTACAGAACACAGCAGGTACCTGATACCCTTCTGGACTCTGACAGTCAGATTTTAACAAGAAAATGGGAACTCTGCAGGAACAGAATACTTTCACTTAGGATATCCAAAGAAAATACACAAGTGAGATTAACCATAACAGGGGACTGGACAAGGTGACCTCTTCCAGTCCTATGGTTCGTAACCTGGTTTCATTAATGCTGAACATTGGGAACCTCCAAGCTAAACTCAAAAGGCCTTCACCAACCACTGAGGTTAGTTGTGTTCTATTCAGGCACAGCTGACAAAGTTAAAATAAAATAAAATCCTTAGCATTAACATAAAAAGACACATGAAAATAAATTGGTAAGGGTTTTGGTTAGTTTTGTTAGTTTATCACCTATAAAGAGCCAGACGTACCAAAGAGCCAACTGAAATTGCAGGTAGTGGACAAATAGGTCTAAATTTGTCCAGAGCAGAATATCAGTTTTGATGAACTGTGGCTGTGTCCTGTGTGATTCTAACTAGTAGTGCCAAAGTGCAGTCAAAGATCTCTCTCTCTACTGTACCCCTTTCACAGTCAGAAATGGGCAACAGTGAACACTATTCTGTAACCTGGCTGTTAGCAGAGCACATTGATTAAAAGGAATGGTACTAAGACTCTTCTACTGAATGCTACAGAATTGTTTATGTAGGCTTGTATATGATATAGTAATATCTTTGCTCTAAGTCCATATTTGAAAAGTCAATCCGTCGAAAAGTCAGCCATGGAAAGTCATCTCAGCAGACCAGACTCTTAGTTTTATTTGTGTGACTTCAGTATAGTTTCCCTTAGGTGTAACGGAGGACAGAATCTTGGCCAGCATGCTGTTTGATACCGAACCCTTTGCATACTGCATACTTTCCTGTCAGTTTAAAATTACTCTCTGCTGAATCATCACATTTGGATAACGAATGGACATTCCAGCAACCAGCACTTTACTTAAGTATGCTATGGTGAAGCAACTAGGAGCTTATAATTTCTTACCTCCATGTCTTCTTTAACTTGTTCTTGTTGGTCTCTTAATTCTCCAAAAGCATCAATAATTAAACCTGGTGTTTAAATAAAAATGATACTTAACATTCAAGAGTACAATATGGCGAAATGTGCATACCCGTGGAAACCAAGGTTGAGCTCGGACGGAGTAAGATCAAATGGGAAGTTGTCTCCTGAAGTAGCAGAAACCTTCATATATTTTGAAAATCACTCTAGTGTCTAAATATGTGAAACAAAGCTGACTACACAAAAAGGAAACGAGTCCCTTCAACTAGGCTGGCAGAGATTTTGTAAAATACTTTTTAATTGGGTGCTATGGGACAAGTGGATTCCTGTTTTATATGTACAGCCCTAGCCTTTTCTTTTATAGAGTAGGTAAAAGGTAGACACACATTTGTAGGGTAATGGAGTCTTTATTAAAAAAAACCCCACTAAACCCACTAAGGATACTACTATATACTTAGCAGAGTTCATAGCTTTATTATATGAATACCATATATGAGAGATGGCCAGGGGCTATGTGCATCCTGCAGCTCCTGCGCTCACTATGCTTGTCGCTTAGTAATGGAATTCCATTAACAGAGCTCCGAAGAAGTAATGGGCCATGTCTTAGAGAAACAGAAAGGGAAAAAACATCCTAGGGTCAGAGACCTATATTATAAATACAAAGGGCCCGATTCTTCCCTCACTTGCACTGGAATAAATCAGACCAATGCCACTTAAGTTAATGGAGTTTCCTGCTGTAAAATTTGTGAAAGTGAGATAAGAATTAGGCTCAGGTTTTACAGTTAAGACCTGTCAACATATATTCAGTTAGTCACAAACAGGGAAACCAAACTGGAAAAGCAAACAGCATGAGATACACTGCTTGAGGATATCAGAACATGGAATTCTGTTCTTTACAAATGCCATTTAAAAACAAAAGTTTGCTTGAATCTTTGAGACAACACATCAGAATTGTAAACAATTTGCCACACAGCTGAGAACCCTTATCTAAACACACCTATAAGAAACTGGGAAGTATCCTCTCAGAGCAAAACTCATCATCTAACTAAATGTTAGCTGGTACAAGGCAATCGAAGATCATTATTTATAAAAGCAGTGAAACATCAAAGTCTTGGCTTGTGTTACTCCAAAAGGATGTATTTGTTGATTTGAATTTTTACAAACTAGAACTATCATAAAAGAATATCCTCTCCAATGCTCTGGGCATCCTTGACAATTTTGCACCACTACACCTTCTCTGGTACTTTTAGCCTGAACCAGCTAGGTTAAAATTAGCATGGGTATGCCTACACAAGCTGCAATCACACCTTGATTACATAGACACATTGTAAACAAACAAAAATCTTTTAAATCTCCTAGAACAATTAATACCCCAGCATCAGCATAAATACAATAAAAAATAAATGACTACCCACAGTCTCCAGAGTACCAAAGCATCACAACTAGCTCTATCCAACCCTCCATCTCCTCACGGCAAAAAAGGAAAAGTGGGTCTTGCAGAGTGCTCTGAAGGCTGACAAATTCAGGTTGTTATGGACTTGAGGGAAAGCAAATTCCAAAGATCCAGAGCCCTGTCAGCCACCTCCTCTCTTATAATGATTGGGCTTATGCTCGGGCATCTCCACTGACTACCTTGGGATAGTTTGCCACTTGGAGAAAGAAAGTCTCTGAGGTAGGTAGGTCACAGGCCACTTTGGGCTTATAGGTCAAAACCAACCATCTTAAAATCCAGTAACCAACAGTCAGCCAGTGCAGATCATGGGGTACAGGTTTCCAGCTGAGTCTCAATCTACACCCTATTCTCTCTCAAATAATGAATAAGGCAATGACATCTCCAGCTGGGACAGTTTAAATGGAGATATAAAGCTACATGTCATCAGCACACTGAAGACATTGCAACCTATGCCTCCTCACTAACCTTTCCAAAGGCCTCATGTAAACAATGAACAAAAGAGCCGACAAGATGGAAACATGTGGAATTTCCCATTGGAGAATGCCCTCAGGCAAAGAATTGTCCAACATGTATGAGCAAATCAACCTGACAAAATGACAGATGGCACTATACTATGTAGCCTTAATTGCAACATCCCACCTCCCAGAACCCAACTATTTTGGCTGCATGGCAAATCCTTCAACTAATGATCTCAGTACGTTCATTCTAACAGGCACGCATGTTCATCTCTTCCCATCTGATATTGCTTTTTTAAAAAGTAAGCTTAGCCTTCACAAGAGACAATGGTGAAAAAACAGTTACCTACCCATAACTGCTGTTCTCCGAGATGTGATGCAGATGTGTATTCTACTTAGGTGTGTGCACAGCCAGTGCAGCAGAGCCCGAGAACTTTGCCTGGCACTCATGACCTGTCCCCTTAGCCCTTCGTCTGGCCATATGAGTGGCCTGACCCTCTCAATTCCTTCACACTAAACATCAGAACTACAGACTCCGATGCAGAGGGGATAGAAGGTGGATTGTGGAAAACATGTCTGTGCCACATCTTGAAAAACAACAGTTACAAGTAGGTAGCCTTTTTTTCTTCTTCAAGCAGATGCAGCCATGTAATTCCAGTTAGGTAATTTACACACACTACTTGTAGGAGGTGGGGCTCTGATTCTCTTTTAACAAGGGCTGCAGGACTGCCTTCCCAAAGTTTCCATCTGATCTGGATGCAGCAGTAATGGCACAGTGGCTTTTAAAAGTACGTACAGAAGACCAAGTGGCAGCCCTGCAAATGTCCAATATTGAAATGCCATTGATATTGCCTGGGCTCTTGTGGAATGAGTAGACATAGTCTGGGCTACTTCGTTTGTTGTCAGGAAACAAGAATGTATCCACCTGGAGCTCATCTGTGAAGAGACTATGTGACCGTTCATTCAGTCTGCATATGAAACAAATGAGATGAGAAACAGAAATGTTTGGTTTTATCCAGATAAAAAGCTAAATATCGCCTGACATCCCGTGTGTGAGATGTTGTTCCTCTGGGGTTGAATGGGGCTTAGGGACGAACACTGGTAAATATAAGCTCGGTTCAACTGAAACTGGGAAACCACCTTGGATGAAAACTTAGGATGCAGCATCAGGGTTACTTTGTCTTTAGAAAACTGCATGTAACGGTGCTCCATCGTCAAAGCCTGCAACTCACGCACCCTCCTTGCAGACGTTATCGCTACAAGGAAGGCAGTTTTCTGACACAAAGGGAGAAAGAAGAAGTTGCCAAAGGCTTGACAGGAGGTCTCATAAGGGCCGCTAAGACAGTATTAAGGCCCCACACAAAGGAATCATTCTTTAAATAGTGGGTAGAGACAAGTGATTCCTTTCAAGAAACTCACTGCCATGGGGTTTGGAAACACTGACTTCCCATGGATTGACAGATAAAACACTGAAACTGCTGCCAGGTGGGCTCTCAATGAACTAAGTGCAAGACCAGAAGACTGAAGATGTAACAGGTACTCCAAGGTTTCCTGGATACAATCCAACTTCAGTTCAACTCCCTGGGCTCATGATCATATCAAAAACCGCTTCCAATTGGCTGAATAGGTCACTCTGGTGGAGGGCTTCTTACTAGTTAGCAAGACTTGCCTGACTGCTCTGAAGATAGTTCTTCCTCCTCGTTAACCATGCAGCATCCACTCTGTGAGATGCAGGGAGCTGAGCATTGGGTGCAAAACCTGACTGTGCTGCAGAGTCCGGAGGTTGGAAAGAAGGGATATAGGAGGCTAAACTAATGACGCAATATTGTCTCGGTCATGCTAGAGCAATGATAAAGAGCTTGGTGTGGTCCAATTACATCTTGAGAATGACCCGCGGGATGATCAGGATTAGAGAAAAAGTATATAGGGGTGCTGATTCCCAGCTCAGGTGAAAAATATCGGTCAAGGAGCCCAGACTGAAACCCCCTCAGGAGCAAAAGAGCTAGCATTTCTTATTCTTTCTTGTGGCAAACAGGTAGATTGTCAGAATGCCCCAAACTGCAAAAACGAACCACCTGATGCTGGGGTTCAGAGACCATTTGCGATTCAGTGAGAAATCTCTGCCTAGGTGATCTGCCGGGTGATCCCAGGTAAGTGGTCAGCAATGGGAGTAATGTTTCCTCAGTGAAAAACTGCCAGAGTTTGATGACTTCCTGACACAGCATGTTGGAGTGTTCTCCCCCCGTCTTGTCACATAATACATTGCAGTGGTATTGTTGGCAAGGATGTGCACCACCCAGTCCCTGATGAGATCTTGAAGAGCCTGTAGATGGCATGTAGCTCCAGGACATTGCAGATGGCATGAAGTTCCAGGACATAGATATGCCGAAAAGCTTCCTGTTGTGACCACTGCCCTTGAACTTTCCAAGATGAACTCCCCAACATATTAAGGAGGCATTGGTGACAACAGTCTTGGTCATTGGGGACCAAGCGAAGGGAATGCCCTGGCACACATTGCCCTGAACCACCCACTATCATAAGGCATCTGCCGATCCTGGATCAAGTCAGACTAGTCTGTCCAAGCGATGACGATTCAGATGATAGACCAACTTCAGCCACATTTGAAGAGAGTGAAAGTGCATTCTGGCAAATTGGACTACCTGTGTGCATGCAACCAGATGACCTAGTAACCTCAGGCATGCATGGGCTGAGGTTGAGGGTTGAGACTGCAGTTTCAGACATAGGTGGCAAATAGTGTAGAATTAGTCAGTCGGCAGAAATGCTCTTGAACTTGTAGAGTCTACCAGGGTCCCAAAGAACTCAATTCTTTGAGTTGGAACCAATGTTAATTACCCATTGTTTAGGATGAAACATAGACAATCAAGAAAATGTAGCATGAAGCGAACATGAGAGAGGATTTCTTCCCTGGACCTGCTCTCAGGAATTAATAGTTCATATGCGGGAAGATATGAATGCCCTCTTCCTGAGATATGTTGTCACTACAATCATGTATTTAATAAAAATCCAGGGAGTGGAGGACAGACCAAAAGGGAGCGTGGTGTACTTACAATGACAGTTCGCCATGACAAACTGGAGAAACCTCCTGTGACTCAGAAGAATTGCTACATGGAAATAAGCATTCAGAAGGTCTAGGACAGCAAACCAGTCATTATGATTTAAGGCAGGGAAGATAGTTGATAGGGTAACCACACAGAATCTCACATATCTGATGTATTTGTTGAGACCATGGAGGTCAAGGATAGGTCTCAACCCTCCTTTGGGCTTGGGGATCAGGAAACATCAGGAGTAGAATCTCTGTCCCCGATGCTGTAGGGGGATCTGTTCTACAGCTCCATGCACCAGAAGAGACTGGACCTGCTTGAGGACCAGTGTCTTCTGAGAGGTGTCCCTGAAGAAGGATGGATTACGGGATGGGGAGGAGGGATGGAGAGGAACTATATGGCATATCCCAACCTGACGGCGCTTAGGACCCAGATGTCTGTGGTATTTGAGTCCTAATATGGGACCAGCATTGGGAATGAAGAGGAACTGAGGATCAGCACTGGTGGTATTGAATGAGACACACTCCCATTTGGTACTGAGGCTAAGTTGGTACGAAGTTCAATGAAGGGATCTGCCACCAAGACAATGATGGTGCTGAAGTATGCATCAGTGTCTACGGGGCCTTCAGTGCCAGGCCCAGTGTTGGCCTCCATTAAACAATCTGAGGCCTGGGCAGCTCTGTGACACAGCCAGGAGGTGCCAAGAGCACAACAGAGGATGAGGCAGTAGAAGTGATGGCACCAGAGCGCTCATGAATCAGTGGAGAGTCTGGGATTGAGAGCAAAGCAGGTCTGATGCCACCCAGTATGCTGCTGGCATGGAAACAGTCACTGCTAGTATCAACATCATGGATACCGCACTCAACAGATGCCCCATGGCCGAAACCAGAGTTGATGGTACAGGCTCTCACTGATTTCAGTCCGATACCAGGGAGAAGTTGGATAGACCTGCTCCATTCCACATGCCAGAGGGAGTATGGTGCAGGTCATCACTCCTCTTAGGAAATGAGGAGGAGTCTCCCCAAGCCCTGGAATGATCCCAGTTCATTTTATCAGACCCCTTCCTCACTGTACCAAAGGAGAGTGAATGACCTCTCTTCCTCTTGAGGGAAGTGCCAGAGCCCGAACACGGAATGGAATCGCTTGTCAGATCCAAAAGTGACCACTTATCAGATAAAAAGATGAAGGTCTCAGAGCTGAAGCAGTCTTCACGGTCTGCTCTACCAGGTGCCAATTCATCTGCAAGTCTCTCGCCACCAGAGTCCTTTTTGTGAATGACTTGCAGATGGATCATAACTCTCTAAGCTATTAGAGAGTTATGATTATATTAGCTTTAGATAAGCTATTACCAGCAGGAGAGTGGGGTGGGGAGAGAGAAAACCTTTTGTAGTGGTAAACACCCATTTTTTCATGGTTTGTGTGTATAAAAAGATTTTCTGTACTTTCCACAGTATGCATCCGATGAAGTGAGCTGTGGCTCACGAAAGCTTATGCTCAAATAAATTGGTTAGTCTCTAAGGTGCCACAAGTACTCCTTTTCTTTTTGCGAATACAGACTAACACAGCTGTTACTCTGAAACTCTCTAATGTTTTCTTCACTGAGACACAATAAATAGCTTGCATGGGGATCACTATTGGAGATGGTTCCCTCCCACGATGGACAATGCTTGAACCCGGCTGACGGCGCATCACAGGGCAGCTAACTACTCTAACTAAAACTTGTACTAACATGAAACTTAACCAAAGAAAAAGTTCTCAGAAATGGAGAACAAAAATCTGAGGTGAAGACACTGCAAAGAGCTCCAAATCTAGCCATGGGTAGTAAGAAGAAACTTATTGAATGGGTCAGAGGGCACTGCCCTTATATGGCCAGGGGAGGGCTAGCACTGCCCATACAGATACTGCTGGGCAAATTTCTCCAGCTCCGGTGCACTGGGTGCACCCATGCCTAAGCAGAATACACAGTTGCATCTACTCAAAGAATGCAAATGATAGGATTCTTACTGAAAATTTGACAAAAAACAAGTATTGGATATTAAAAGCCTTGATTTTGTATTCCTTTTACAGGAGAGACTCTGTCTTCATTGGAAAAAGATTGAAAGGCTTGTTTACTATGGGCCAAACACTCCCCTTTGTTCTTCAAAAGGCACACAGAAGGAGGGCAGATCTATTGCCTCTGCTGCTCCTCCATATCTTCTCTTCTGTTGTATTGAACTTCTGTACTGCACTCACTGTGCTAGTATATGAGTGCCTTGAAAGTGGGACAACTCATGGAACGGATCCAGAAGGGATAAGGGCCAAAATGGATTGGAGGTCAAGCTATACTGGAGAGAACCTCAAGAGTCAGTAGTCTTTTGCACTACAGGATCCTGCCTACATGCATCTCCTCCTTCATATCTGTGGCAGTGATATGCGGTACACCCATCTTGGATGTGTGGCCCCATTCTCTGAAGAGAAAAGCCACGATGGAGGAGCTAGTATTGCTCTTAGTGGCAATAATGCATTGTGATTAAAGCACTGTAGCTTGCCACAGACTTAAAGAGAAGCATGTCCCATTGTGATTGTACCTCAAAATGACACCCTGTACCTACATATTCACCACGGCTATGTGATTATGACATGTTTTGTCCAAACTATGCCTTGTGAGGTATCATTTGAGAAGTCATGATCCATTGAATATTACTATCCTATTGAATTGTATGTACTACCATGGTATGTGAAATTATGAAGTTTGCTATATGGTTGTTATTGAAATATATTGTGAGTCTGGGAGATGCCCACAACTAGCCTTCAAGTGGCAACAAAGGAACAACTAACATCTCCAAGACAGATTTACATTAGGACTAGCCAGTCATGTATTGAAGGCCCATTAAAAAGAATCCACTCTCCCAGTGAACCCCTCCTGAACCACGTAGACAATGCAGGCCCAGTGTCTCAGCAGGGTATCTAGAACACATGATCCCTGACTCCATGTTTTAGACAGTATATTTCCATTTACATTGTTTGGGGGTTATAAATTGGAGATTGTGACATCAGCCCCGGGCCTCTCTCCTCCCCCACCTACTCTGAAGGCAAAAAGAACATTTGAAAGAAAAGACTTTGAACTGGGGAGATTGGCTCCAGGCTGAGCAAGGAATTCAGCCTGTGAATTAAGAACTGTGAACTGCTTATAGCGTCTAGTGGGGTGAGAAAAACTGCTTGATGCAAATCTTTCTTAGTCCGACAAAGTTTAGAATTTAGACTGTGATTTTACTTTTATTTCTTATGTAATTAACTCTGGCCTCTATGCTTAACACTGATAATCACTTAAAATCTATCTTTCTGTAGTTAATAAACTTATTTTAATATTTTTTTATTTTTCAGTGAGTTTGTCTTAAGTGTTTGGTGAATCTGCTCAGATTACAAAGGCTGGTGCATGTCCACTATCTTTTCATGAAATGGCAAACTAATTAATGAGCTTACATTGTTCAAGAGAAGATCTTGAGCAGTGTAAGATGGTACATTTCGAGAGTGCAAGGCTGGGAAGTGTGGGGGATTTTCTGGTGTTTCCCTGTGTATGGTTCATGAGTGGCTTAAAGGGCATTCATGCAATTTAGCTGGGTGTGTCCCTGCATTTTGTTGACTGAGTGATTACAGCCTCTGGAGGGGTTTGCTGTTTGTCACTAGCAAAATATCATGAGAGACAGGCCAGACTGGAGATTTAAGTGGGCACAGCAGTCCCACAATTCGAGGTTGTACCCCAGGTTGTCACACGCATCAAACAGTTTTTCCTCTGAATCCCCCTCTCCTTGCCCTGTCCTCACTTCTGGGGTTATGTGGAGTTGAGGAAAACATCCTACCTAGCCATTATCACCCCTCTTTGGTGAAATGTTGGTCTTTTAGTTCCCATTAACATCATGTATGTGGAGGGATGACTGTGGCACTAAGATTCCAGTGGTTTCAAATATCACTTCCCTGTGGCCACAGAGTATGAACACATACCTTGTATGATGGCTAGCAGAATGACAATTACAAAGAAGAAGAAAGTAATGTCAAAGATGATCCGATAGATCTCATATTCATCTCCTGCTGGATCCTCAATTTCATCACCAATGCCTCCGCCCGCACGCACTCCAACATACATATGAAACATGTAGCACTGGAAAAAAATGAGAAAATGAAAGAACACATAACCATTTAAAAAACCCATTCTCCAAGATTTTGGCTACTTATTATTATGTATTTGTATGACAGTAGTACCTAAAAGCCCCAACTGAGAATGGGATCCCATTGGGAGGTCCTGTAGAAACAGAGAGACTGTTCCTGGATTGAAAAGCTTACAGTCTAAATAAGCAAGGAAAAGAAAAGGCAAATTTGTCTATCTTATTTATTTAGAGAAGAGGAAGAGGAAACAGAGGCACAGAGAGGTGAAATGAAATTGCCCAAGGTCACACAGCAAGTCAATGGCAGAGCTAGGAATAGAAATGCAGTTTCCTGATTCTCAGTCCAGTGCCTTATCTATTAGACCATGCTGGCTCTCTTTTTTCCCCTCTTTTTTTTGGGGGAGGTTGGGTGGGGGTGGGGGTAATTTTACAGCAAGATTGGAAATGCTGCTGAGATTCAAGATGCAAAATTTCATGTTTTCCAATTGCACCATAAAACAAAAAGGAAAGAGTGTTACAACAATTTTACCTGATTGAAAAAAAACTGCTAATTGCTCGTAAGTTATATGGTCTTATTGTTTGCATAGCATGGCCTGGTGAAGTAAGCATGAGGCAACAATGCAGGCACTGCTATATTCTAATTCTGGCTCTGCAACTGAATTGCTGTGCCACCTTTGATACCGAAGAGTCTGACTCTGTGTCTGTAGATATAAAGTGGAGATGAGAATACGTATTGCAAAGTTTCTCTGAAATGTAAAGTGATAATTATTACTATTACTGTAATCTGTTGCCTTTTAAATAAAATTGTATTTCTTTATTCTTTCCCCATCTTCAGTACCTCAAAGGAAAAACAGCTCCTGAGAATCCTTCTTCAGAGGACGTGTTAGAGATGCATGAGATAATGTGCACTTCCATTCTGAAGAGTGACTAGTAATAGCAATGTGGGGTGTCTTGTTTACCACATCACAATGATCTCATATCAAATGTGCTCAGTTTAAGAGTTAAAATATTTTTTTTCTGACTCCCAACCCTACAGACCCACTCTGGGATCTTAAGATCAAGCTGGGCTCTTTTCAGGAATGACCACAACTTCACAAGTCATGATGATTCTACAGTGCGAATGATGTTCTCAGTTATACTTGCACAAGACCTTCCAGAGCCTTGTACAGGTGGTACTGAAGGCACTGTGTCACCTGCAGGATCATTATTGCTGCTGATGAGGCTGCGTTAGAAAGAGAAAGCTTGTCTTTTCAGAGCCCAGGTTGAGTTTTGGAGGGGGTGGTCATTTTTATCTGTAAACTGAGTAAATGGGATATCAAATTGGTGATATGTAAGAAATACGGAATCCCAAAGGTGCCATTTACATAAGAATTTTTCAGAGTACAAATCATACTTTAAGAGAACAAAATGAAAGTTTTAAGAATGAGAAATCTGGATTAAAATCCTGCATCTTTGAAAAGCAAATCAAGATGTTACACACTGATATTAACTCATTTGGTCCGGAGGAAGGGGCAACAGTGACAGGTGGTAGAATTAGTATATGGAATTGTGCTCTGTGCGGTCCCAAATGCACATAGGCAGGTAAAGAACATAGCTAGCTGTGTGCAAAAGTTCCAGCAGACGGATTTCATGCCTGATTCTATGACCATTGCTTCCACTGAGTATTATTTTACTTCAGGAGTAGTCACATTTAGATCTGGGGGCTATATGCAGACTAAGTTCCTCCTCAACATACATAAGGATAGCAGAATCTGACCCTTTCTGATTAAGGGCAGTGCAAGAAGCTGCAATTCAGGGCAATTACTGTAATTTTTTTTTAGTCTGCAGGGGATGGGGCAGGAAGAAATCTATTTTGTTCAGGTTCATATACCACCTTTGTCACCTTGGTATCTGAGCACCTTCCAGTCATGCATTAAACAATTTCACTAACATCTGTCACATGTGGTTCAATTTCTTTCTCATCCTCCCCGCAGGGAGAAAATTGTATGTGTTTTGATAGCTTTTTGGTTTGGGGGGGCTGAATAATCGGCTTACATGTGTCATGCTATCTTATACAAACTGTTCCAAATCAGAATTTTTTCACTCTTTGAATTTTTCACTCTTTGGATTATTTTACACTTTCCCCTCCTCTTGTACTATGATCAGAATAGGATCACATCACATCTCCATGTTGCTATCATTAGAAATGTAACCTCAACACACATCCTAAAAACATTCTTCATTTGATCCAATCAACAAATATGGCAAGAAAACTAGGAGCCACTCTGCAAACTGCACAACTGCATAGTATTTCAGACAAATGGAACACCTTTGAACACGAGGGCTTTCCCAATCTGAAGCTTCGTTTGCAACTTGGGCATACTATTGTAGAACGGCAACAAACCCTGCCTGCTTATAAACTGTATTAGGTCCAGAATTATGTTGTTGGGTTTTTTTGGCACGATGGGGATGAAATTTATTTTTCTTTTGTGATGGACTGCTACTTGAGGAACCAGTTTCACACATTTGTCTTCCACTTGTAAGCACTGAAATAAAGTGGGCTTGATTGTGTTTTTGCAGTCTTCCCTGTATAAGTGGTGCATATGGTGCTGAAGAAAGACCAGTGCAGTAAAGACATCAGGCCTGAGAAAGTCATGTTTCCTTCCTTCATCCCCACTTTCTCCTCTGGCACTTTCCACTTGCAGAGGACAACCCCATAGCACTTCCAGTTTAGTTGCATTGACCAGTGCATTAGGAGAGGTGGCGTCAATGTTCCAGCCATTTCCACCTCTCCCCACCCAGGATTTCCCTTGATGGTCAGGGAGCATCAAGTCCACAGTCCCCATTTACTGCTATGCATTTAGACCCAAGTTCTGGGAAGGCCAAGCAGTTTCTTATTCCCCCTTGAATCCCAGTGTGGCCCTGTAGCACAGGCCACAATCTATCCCATTAGCAGTTTATCTTTATTCCTTTGATTTATCTTTATACAGAAAGTGTCCATTCATTGCATCTTGCCTTGCCTCCCTCCCATCCCTACAACCTCCACTCCCGACTGGATCAGAGGATTCCGAAATGCAATCGATTCATTTCTCTCTGAAATCAATTGGAAATTCAAAATGGAATTAATTATGTCAAGCTACAAAAGTGCCAAGGAGATATCGCACTGTCGGTTATGGTACTTATACTTGAAAGTGGATGTTCTCTACTGGCTAATTTACAAACATGCTAAAGCTAAAAAGAAAACCTTTCCATTTCCTAATGAGTATTCCTAATGTATTTCAAATCAAATGGACTTCAAAGCACAGAGAAAGCTGACAGGTATTGTGGGCCAAATTCTGATCTTGCACTCTTGTAAATCAGTAGTAGCTCCATAGAAATCAGTGGGATTACTCTGGATTACACTGGCATAACATAGAAGAATCTGGCCCTGTATGTCATTGCTGTACAGCTAGTCAAATTATGCTCTGGGTTGCACTGATGTAACTCTGCATTAGTTCCACTAAGTCAATTTTGTTCCTATAGTTTTCACTATAGTTTAAGCCAGTGAAACTGGGTGCAGAAATTGGTTCTTAAGAAGTATCCTGTGGAGAGTGTAAGGCTACTTCATCTTAATAAAATACCTGTAGAATGTACCAACACCAATAACTAGGTGCTAAGAAAAGGCATGAGAAATCCAAGAGCCATAATGCGGTATACAGTAACAGGAATGATCTTATAATTATTTTGTTCACAAATAGTTCACAGCACAGCAATTTGAGACTTACAAAGCCACGGCCAAAGGAGGAAAGTGCACTCCCATGGAAAATACCATAGCATTTTTACAAGGGTTTTTAGTAATGTTATTTTCTTTTAAATTTTTTCTGATTATTAGAATTTTTAAAATATGTGGTATTGGTTATTAGGAAATGAGGTAAATAATATGTAAAAAATACATCAGAAAGTCATTACATTCCTTAGATTTTGTAATGATCTAGGCAACGTCTTCTGAATCAGCAAAATTTGACACTATCAGACCCTTTCAAATGGCAATTTAAAACAATTGGTAAATAACTGTCAGGCTAACATGCACCAGAAAGTTTCCAGTGACAGAGATGTCAACGGAAGACATCTAATCAACCAATTGAGGTTAGTGGGAATCATTGGTAACAGTTTACAATAGCCACACAACTGTCTGTATGGCCTGTAAAACTGCAGCATTCAGAAGTACTTTCATGCAACTTTTGAGAAAGCCTCATGCAGTGAAACAACTTTCTGAATTTGTTTGATTTTTTTAGTCTCACATAAATCATATCAAAGACTAATGTCACATTATTTCATCTTCATTTCATTTGTGGTCACGTTCTCTAACTCCTGCAGGTTTGTATTACATTTTTTATTCCTTCATGCTTCACTGATAATCTTCCTGTTGTGAGCAGCCATCCTTCTGGCTATAGGTATTATTCAGGAACAGTTGCATGAAAATAGGGGAGGGGAACAGGAAATATCATAATAACTTAAGTAAAGATGAGCAAAAAGCAAACAGACTTACTGTTAGCATATCATCACATTTCATATCTGGCATATCTCCATCTTCACTCTTGTTGTAGAATTTACGGAAAAAATTGAATGCCACTACTGTGTACAAGTAGACTACCACTGCCAGTAATCCCACTGTTAACACAAGCTAGAAGAGAGAATTATATGATGGATGTATTAACACCATGAAAGCATGCAGTGCAATTTTCTTATATGATGGGGAAAAGAGAGAAATAATAAACTACATTTACTGGCGAAGATAAACTCACTTTATTCACCCCCATCTCTCTCCCTCCCCAATCTGGCATTTTAAAAAGGAATTTTTGTTTTATTTTAGTAAAATATAAGTGTATTTTATGCAACGTTAGAACATTTAAATTGGCTCATGAATGTTAAAATGTTTCTAGAACTTTGAGGCAAATGAACAAAAAAAATTAGCAAAAATGTAAATTCATATCCATACCGATATGTGCTCACATACAGACAGAAAAGAAGGTATTTCTATTCTGTAAGCTTAAAAAATACATTCCTGTTTCCTATTTATAGTATCAGTGCAGGTCACAAGTACATTCCAATGCAACAATTATTAAATTAAATACCAAATGTCTGGGAAATTAAAACGGTTGTAAGTCAGTTCTGTGTACATACAGCATGTTTTGAGTTTGCCAGATACTCACTTTGAGCTTCTATCCAAGGATCTCAAAGTATTTTATGAACATCAATTATGTAAGCCTTTTACCTACCTATCCATGGATTTTAAGTATTATTCCCATTACATAGAATGGGAAGCTGAGACAGAGAAAACTTTCCCAAGGTCACAAAGCAAGTGTGCTGCAAAATAAGAAAGTCTCCAGAATATTCTAATTTCCTTAGCTTTTGTATGGAACAGTAGAAAATATGAGATCTTCGCTTTTGTGTTTGAAATTTTAAATGAGCAAAATTTGTAATGAATGTAGATTTAGAATGGAAGACAAATTTTTCTAGAAGTTAAAACCAGTTTTAGATTTACTGACCAATTAGATTTAAGAGTATTCTTTGATCAATCTGTAAATCAATGCCACTATTTGAAAGTGTTATTTCATCTCCATGCACTTCCACTTTGATGCAAAACTACACTTCAGAAGCAAATTGCACAGACCCGACTTGCAAAATTTGGTGCATCTTGGAGTTTGTGTAGAAAAGTGGCATTAAAAAAGTTTGCTATCTAGCTTGGTGGCAATCTTATAGTGACACAGTTTCAGTTATACCTGAGGGATCCTAGAAAAAACAGCACATTAATGTTAGTGTAATATCTTCTCTCATAAATGGCAATAAATCCCCCCAAGTCCTCAATTGCTAAAGCATTAAAATATTGACTTGAGCCAGATGAAAAGTAGTTAGAAGTGAATTACAATTTCCTGCAGCAAATATTTGAAAAGAATGAATATTTTAACAAATAATTTTCATAACTATCTGAATTATGAAGTACTATATCACCTTACATTCTATGTACTTAACTTGTAAAGGCTTCATGTAAAAGCTGCAGATCTGCTCAATCATATCTGGACATTTAAAAGGACATGTGGCTGGAACGCTAAAATTTGACCAACCTAAAGTGAACGTAACTCAGTATTGCAAGTCTCTCCAAACTTGCATGCATCAACCTTGCAAAATTCTACCTGCCCATTGGTCAAGGACAACTAATTTTTTTGGGGGGGGGGGGGGACGACAACAGGCAAGTAAAAGATAATACTTTTTCTGTATCATTAGTCATCATTGTAATGGGCAAACAAATAGATATTGTGCTTCCCTTGGTAAATATGAGTCACAGTAAATGAAAAAACTTAGCACTGGTTTGTAATTCTCAAGTTGAAACCAGAGCAGGGTTTGCTTTTCTAACATATAAATTATCATTGTTTGCAACCTTCTAAAAAAGCAATTTTCTAGGCCCTGCAAAGAGAATCATGCAATTTTTCAAACAGGTTAAACTTTAAGGTCTAGTAATCATGTCAATGAGTGGTCATTGATCTTGTGTGACCAAATGTGCTTCTAGTTACCGGGCTAATCCTGATTTAAACAGGATTGACAGAGTACTGAATTTGGCTTTCTGTGTACACTAGTGATACTATCTAACTGGGATGGGGCCTTTCTTAAATCATAGCAAGGGATATCAGTCACTTGCATTCACTTTCCTATCTTACATGCCACATCTCTGTGGCTGTCCTGTCCCATCTATTTTAAAAAACCAGAAACTTAATGTTATCTATGGTGATATTATAGCAGAGGTATGTACAATGTATGTCCATGAGCCTGTAGGGGTTGTTACTTTCCAGGACATAACTTTAAGACCTCAGCCCTTCAGTAGTATCTGTATGAGCACTCTTTTGCCCACACAGATTTGACCTCATTATCAGGGCCTAAAGTGCTGCAATATAATAGTAATGCAATTATAAGCTCCCCACCAGAAGCTAAAGTATAGGGTAATTTCATTTTATTCATGCTCACACTCTATTTTATTATTCTAAGAGCAAAGGCTGCAGTAGGTTGGCTTGTATACCTGTGTGAGACTCACATTTTCTACTATACAAACCAAACTAATTTATTTAGTTACATTTTTAAAAGCTCTTCTCCAGTGCTCTAGGCACTTGTTCAAACATTACAGTAAATAACTTGTCCTTTTGGAGAGTTGCTTCAAAGTGTTCTACTGGATAGCCATCTGTCAGGGACAGATTTCAACTCCCAGCAGCCACTGTAGCTGCTATGAAAAATAGATTAAAACACTTGTTTAAACATTTGTTGAAACACATTTAAATGAAGTTGAAGTGGCTACTGAGAGTGTTAACCATCCCCTGCACAGATCATGGAATGGAAACACAATGGGGACAATCCACTGTCCTACAAATATTTGAGGGACTCCAGAAAGACAAAGCAGAGACTTAGGGTGGCCACTCTTTCCTTTGCCTTAAAACATATTCCCTTATATTTCCTTCAAGTTTCAAGCAAACAGAACTTTGCACACATGGGGCCTACATAACTGTACATAGATCAGGCAAATAGATAGTTTTGCCCCACAAGTTTCCTAGAACAACAAATCTGAGATGAGAGGCAGAAAAAAAGTGATTTTTCACTATGTATCCCATAAAACTATTGAGAGGGAAGTCCTGGGTTTTCCTCAACTGGAAAATAAATTTTTAATCTGACAATTTCATATAAAACAAGGAAATATTCTCAGTTCAGTCTGTAATATCACTTTACTATAATCCAATATTGTGTAAATACAGTCTCTGATTAGCAGTATTTGAATTTTATCCATCATTTCCCAATTAAAGCAGCATTTCCAGGTCAGTGTTCTCCAACCCCCTAATTCTGAACCTAATTCTAATAATGAACCTCCCCTCCCAACATCCCAAGAACCCTATTGCTTCACTCTCAAAATATTTAGTTCTACAGACAGACTTTGTGAGCCCCAGAGGGTTTGAAAATCCCTTTTTTAGATAAGAAACCTGATTAATAGCTTATCAATGTGTGTGAATAAGCAGGACTGTCTCCTGCCTTTCAATATGAGGGGCTGCCTCACTGCATAATTTAGACTATAAACAGTGCCTGTAAAATTGGTGATATGGACAACCTAGCTGAGGGCAGGATTCACCTTGCATCTAATAGCTACTCACATCACACTCATTCACACAGATGAGGAGCCTGCTAAAGACTTACATTCAGATTGCATTAATTTGCTTAAAATAAAGCATAGTAGTCCATTTCTATAAATCACTCAACAATTAAACTGGAGCCAGATAGATATAGTTTAAATTGAAATTTTTGTGATGCAAAATGCAGTCTGCCAGCTGATGAGTTACTAACAGCAAAATCATGGAATGCTGTTTTTGTGGTTTACATTGCTGTGGTCAAAATCACGCGTAGCCAACTTGAACAGTGTTGTGTTTTGTCAACAAAAATTTAAAAAAAACCCAGTGACTAATCTATCAGGATCTTTAATCCTGATGTGCATTGTAGGTGAAATTAACCCAAGCTCAAAGGGTCATATGTAAAGAATAAGCCATGCTTAAACTCTGCATTAAGGTACAAAATTTCAGCCCAGTCCCCCAACCTGTTTAATTTAGCTCGGAGCTGGATATATCCATGGCTGGGGAGGAAAAGAAGGCTACCGAGTAAATACATTGCCATTCTATGGCTATTTATACAGCTCCGACTGTAGTAACCACTAGAGTTCTAACACACCCTCTGCACAGAGAGGCATAATGGAAGGATCCATGTAGCAGCAGATCCTCTGGCCCTCTCTCTGCCTCACCCCTAGGATGGTTGTACACAAGATGACATTGCAGAGAAAGCTCCCAAACCCTTTCCTATCCCTCCTTGTATATCAGAACTGCATCAGCTGAGTTGCTAGGAGGGTGTCTGCACCCACAGAGGATGACCTGTATTTTCCCTGAAGTAAGTACTTGTGTGGGCCTTTTGCACTTGTTAGACTTTCAATATACTAGAAGCCAAGGATCATAGAAGAGTGCTGCTATAACAGAACTAAATTGACAGTAAAACTTGGTTATTTTCTTTAATATATGTCTGAAATATAACTTCAGACATCATGATTATCCTCCAGCCCAGCTTCCTCATCAATACAAGACTAAACTGCAATTAAAGAACATTTCTCCTTTCAATCCTTGAGAAAAGTTTTCCCCAGTCAGTTTGAATTCAGCCACGGGATGAACCTAACTGAGCATTCCTTCAGCAAAAAAGGGAGAGGGAGATGAAGCTTGATACCTGTTTGCCATTATGGGTTACTGATGACAGAATAGTTCGTAGTGTCTTGAATCCCATTGCAATGTCAAGGAGATGAGCAGCAAAGAAAAAGTTGTTGTAATGGCCAAGGATTGACATAGTCATATACCAGGCTAGGTAAAGGAAAGACTATTAGGAAAAAAAGAGAGAGAATTGCATTAGGAAAACAGGAAATGAAATCTACAGCCTTTGAGTAATAACCAGTCTTACCTCAGTCACAAAGTAAAAGAGAGAATTATATTAGAGCTCAAACTTGCCTTTCTGTTGGGTATTCAGGTATGGTGGTTTACTACAGTGATGCTTGCTAGAGCTGGTTAGGAGTTTGATGACAAAATATTTTTTGTCAAAAATGCCAATTTGTCAAAACTCAAACCTATTCAGAGGAAGAGTAAGTTTTTACAAAATTTTCAACTTGAAAATTTTTTGAAGTGAATTTCAAAATTCTCCTTACATTTAGTTTCAACATTCTCCAACCAAAAAAATTGTTCTTCTGATTCCAAATTACTTTTCATTCAGAAATGCAAACAAATTATAGTAAATAAAATACAGAAAAATTAAAAATGGTTGAAACAGAAATGAAATATTTTGAATTATAGAAACAAAAAGTTTGAATTGACCTGAACCATTTATTTATTTATGGATTTTCAGTGTGCAAAAATTTTGAGATTTTTACTTTTCATCCCAATTTGGGACAGGAAAATCACTTCCTACAAAGCTTTAATGTTTGGATCTCTGCTATTAAAGAAGGACAAACCTTAGATCAGGCTTGAAAACACATGGATATTTATAAAATAAGTTCAGGTTTGTCAGGGTTTTATTTTTTATTCTGAATGCTGTTGTTGCAGATATTTATAACGGAATAAGAGCTTACGACTCCACAACCCAACTATATATGATATTATAGCATTTTGCTCTCAAATGGTCAGGATTATAATTTCACCCAGCATTCAGCAAGAGAAGTAGATAGAAGCTGAGGGAAGAAATATCTTTCATAGTTGGCAAAAGAGGTAAGAAAAAGTATGAGAAATATACAAGAAAATGGATGCGTAGGCGGGCTTACATCCAATCCAGCACTGGTCATGTCACTGCTTTGGTTTACCTTCAATTTCACATCAAACCAATCACCACATCTGTTTTTTTCACAGTACTGCTCCCCTTCTAGGTGTGGTTTATTACTATAAAATAATACTCTAAACCTTCCAGACCTCTTCTCTGGGCTCATTTAGTCCTTTCAATTTATGATGGACTTTAGCTTCCATATAACCCTCCCTCTAGACTCAAAAGTCTTTACAGTCCTCAATCAGAGTTTCCTCTTGCTTATAGTTCTCCCTTCAGGCTCACAGTCCTATGCACCCCTCCGACCTCAGCGGTCTCTTGTTCCCTGCAGGTCCCTAAGCCTGGGAAAGCAGGAGAACTGCCACCTGCCCTTTCCCAGTAAGCTCCCACCCCAAACTCAGGCTCAGCAGGCCTGCTTCTCAGTCACCAGTTCTCCATCCTTTGCATGCATTCCCTTTATCTGGGGAGGTGAACTAGGCCTGGGATGGGGGAGGCTGAGTCCTAACCCTCAAAGGTCGAGCTCACCCTGTGACAGGATATCATTTGATAGGTTGGGTATTTTTTTAACATGGAAATGAAGAAGAGTAGAGTTAATAAATCACATTCTGTGCCATATTCTTCTACTTCCAGATATACCAGTGTAAATCCAGAGTAACTCCACTGAAATCAACTATCGCTATCTGTACTTGTTCTAGTAATTCTCAGTGGCTCCACATATAAAATGGAAATAGATCTAAGCCTGGCATGAGAAATTGTGATTAAAGTTGATACCAACACTAAAATAGTTCAGATTCACTCTTTTCTAATTTTTACAAAATACCACACACAAATTGTTGCAAGTTTCTGTGCACAACTGAGGTGCACAAAAACAAATCAGAGAAAGACCCAGCTGAACTCTACTGAAGTCAAGGAAGTTTCTGCAGATTTTTACCTGTATAACTGAGACAGGAGTTTGGCTTCCTGTCCAAGTTCACAGGTCAGGGTTAAAAAGCAAAATTACCTCCCTTACCAGATTAGTAAATTGTTATCAGTAGCATACAGAAGTAATCAGATTCATACATTTCAACCAATTTCTCATGCTTAGAACTCTGTTTTATTTTATTATACATGTAGTAAAATGAACTTACATTATCAGTGAAAACAACTCCTAATTTCCACATCTGATACTTTACGTCAATGGAATTTAGCCTGCAAAAAAAGCAGATGCATATAAAAGTTCAGTGAGAAATCACACAGCATCCATTCTACTGTAAGTGCATTATCCTGTAGGTATAATAAGCTACAATTGTCCTGTTTCTCCTAAAGTTGAAAGGAATAGTAGAATTCATATAGAGAACATGCTGTTATTGTGGGATGTTCCTATCTGAAACGTTAGCAGGAAAATGTTTATATAAACAGATCTCATGTGTCTTTGTCCTACTGAAACCAGGGATGAGGGCTATTGAAAGAAAGGGGTATTAGGATACTACAAATGAAGCTGGGAAATTTATGAGAGAGGAAGATGAGAGGGTTTAATCATGGAGGAGAGCAAATTTAGTATGTTTAACAACAGCAGCAGCAACAAAATGAATGGCAACTCTCTGACTGTGGATTAGATTGTGCCATTCTGGCATAGCCCTGCACTGGGGGCAGTGTGGAACTCCATGCCAGCCAAAGCAGCATAACAGAAACTATCTCAGAGAGGCAGAATGCCACTCGGAGTTCCCCAGTACACAGGGGCATCACACAAACTGTTACACTCCACTTTATGGGCTGCAGCATGTAGCTTCTCAACCAGGCCAGCCAGTTCCACTGGCCAGCTCAGCTTCCCATTACTCTCTACAACTTCCCTGGTCTCTTAAGGCAACCGATGCTATAAGGGAAGGAATTAGGCAACAGTTTCTACATTTGAGTGCCAGGGTTGTCATTCTGTCCAGTCATTAGAAGAGCATAGAAGATTCTTTACTTCCTTCTTTACCACTACACACCCTTTAAAGGCTAAGTCAGAATCCAGTCTATACATGTATGTTGCATCCCTTTCCCCTCACTCATTGTCTGTCTTTGTCCTTTTTAGTCTTTACACTCCATAAAACAGGGAATAAGTCTTCTGTGTTTGGAGAGCTCCCAACACACCTTGGGTTCTACTGCAGTAATGATTGTGTTAAAACAGACACACATGAGAGATTTAAAATTAGGGATATTCATAGATAAAAATGAAATATTCATTCAGAAATCTACACCTGTTAGTATTTTAGTAAAATTATTTCCAAGGAATTTTCAATTACAGTTAGCATTCTATTACCAGTAAAAAATATTGTATATCCACTCTACAGTATTTACTCATTTGCTGTATTGCTACCAGTTACCGGCCGTTTTCATAAGAACGGCCATACTGGGTCCATCTAGCCCAGTATCCTGCCAGGTGCTTCAGAGGGAATGAACAGAAAAGATAATCATCAAGTGATCCATCCCCTCTCATGCTGTCCTTCTCCAACCATTCAACCCCTTCAGTGGCACAGCATCACTTACCCATGACCACTATGCTTCTCTCCTTCTTCCCCCTGAGATTGATTCTGACTTCTTACTCCAACAATCTCTTCCTCTCAACCCTGATGCTTCTTCCCCCCAATAGACCCCAAAAACTTAAAGCTACATTTTTTATAATACAAATAAACCATTTTTTGTAAGCAGGTGAGACAAGAAACTAACAAGAGCCATCACCATGGCTGCTTGCTTGGGCATTAAGCCCTATTACATGTTGAGCCACTTTCTGGTTCTTTATCTTTATGGAGTGGAAATTATTTGAGCTATCTGTGAAGTGTTTAGCACAAATAGACCCTATTCTGATTGGGGACTTTGTGGACAATTATAATGTAGATAATTATATTAAAATATTATCCACCTTCTCCATGTAATTATGAGCCAATTAAATGCTCCTTCAAATAAAGAGCAAACAACAATTATTAGTGTTAGATATAGTGTAGACAGGTGTAGTGCCCTTGTCATCTCAAATTGTGTAGTGGTTCTCTAATGGGTGCTTGTGAGAGTTTTACCTAAGGCCACTAACATAATGTAATCTACTCGGGGCTTAAACCCAGGTCTCCCAAGATTAGAGCAGGTTTTGTTAGATTCTCAATTTCATAGACAGGACAATTCACCAAAAATAAAATAATTTCTCTGCTTTGATTAAGTGTTAACCATTCAGAGAAGATTTTGCCATCAAATCAGTTGAACTTCCATTCGAAGTAGTAGTAATTATTATTTATATAGCGCATAAGTCTACAAGGAGATTTACAGGTCAATAAAAAAGCAGAAGACCAAGTTCTATCTTATGTGCACTAGTATAAATCAGTAGTTATTTCACAGAAGTCAATGAAGTAACAAGGATATGAAACCTATGTTGAGTGTGATCAGAATCAGGACAACATTCTCTGTCCAAAGGAACTTACAACATATTTAATTGTGATTCCGCTGATTTTACTTATAACAATGCCAATTTACTTAACACAGAGGAACTGTAAAGGTGGTGGTTGTTTGGATTAGTGGGAAATTTGTCCTTTGACTCATTCTCACACATATTTTTCACTATATAAATTTAATTTTACCACAGAAATGATACAGACGATACAGTAAATCATATACCATATTAACACTTATTTAGTCTCTTGCCACACGCAAACACGCATTGATTTCCATAGGACTGCTCACTGTGAGTAGAAATGGCACCATTGGATTTTTAATAAACAATCTCTGCTGACAGAAATAGAAATAGTTTTAACACAGAGAGAAGTATGGCCTAGTAGGCCACACATGGGGACTAAAAGTATTTGTGTCCTAACCCCAATTTTACTACTGATTTGGTGTGTGGTCTTAAACAAGTTCATTGACCTCTCTGTGATTCAATTTCCCCACCTGTATACTAATTATCTAGTTCACAGCACTCTAAATCATGTGAAAATTAACGTTTTTATGCAAAATACAAATGTTATTAATGTTTTTTAAAAAATGTGTTGTTACTTACCTTCATACCCATAGCAATTTGTTTTCCATATCATCTCTTTACCCTATTTATTTCAAGTTTGCACATCACTTGATATAGTTGAGAAAATTAATAGAATGTTATCATATAAAAGTTACATGGGGCATGCTATTGCAGACACAAATCAAAAGGACAAACTTGCATGGTTACTAGTTCCCCTTGGAATATTATTGGCTAAGTTCACATTGTGTTCGATAGGCCTCTTGGTCAGAAAAGTTTTGTATAATGTAACTTTTTCTCCCCAGGACAACAAAATTATGCTGTCTTTGTATCTGACCACCTCCAAACTACTTAATGAGATCTCAGTGTCTGTCATACTTGAATGCACATTTGTTGCTCTAACATTCAAAAAGAATAAGCAATTGTTGCACTCCTATGGGTTTGAGAGCATCCTTGAACAGTGCTTCTGACATGGACACTGGCCTAGGAACAGAGAGCTTTAGATGACTTTACCTGGAGGGAAATAATAGATTCCTCTGAGGACTAGTTATTTTGGGTCTTGAGTCCTCCAACTAGATGACTGCTAGAGAGTACTCTGCATACGATGACCAGATGTCCCAATTTTATAGGGACAGTCCCAATTTTGGGGTCTTTTTCTAGGCTCCTATTACCCCTCACCCCATCCCGGTTTTTCACATTTGCTGTCTGGTCACTGTAACTCTGAACCTTAGTACAGTGAGGCAACAATGGAAGGGTATTAGGCTAGATTCTGCTGCCATTTACACTGGTGAAAATCTGAGCAACCCCATTAAATCTGTGCCATTGTTTAGAACATATCCTTCAAAACTACAAGACTTGACCCCTGCAGAGGAGAAGAGCTGGGCCCTATCTTGACTGATCAAAATAACATATTGCAGTTTGTCTTTTGGGATGTGATCTGTTTTCCTTTCAGAGTTGAAATATAAAATCTAAGAGCCAATATTATGGTTCAAAGCTGTTCAACTGTTATACAACCTGGTCTCTTGCAGTTTCCAGACCATGAACTGCAAGGTGACACTCCGACCCTAAACTGGATGAAGAAATGGGAACAGTAGAGCCAAAAGGTACTGCCACCGTCTGAGGACAATGTATTTAGGAATAACTCTCTTCACTGAGTGAAGATGATACAACAATATACCATGGATACTAATGGAAACTTAACTTTGACTGTAGAAGCTGCATTCTTAGATTCACAAAAGGGGTGACAACGATACAGGAAGGCCATCAGAACCCATATTGTTATTTAAGATCTGACTATTCCTACTGGTTGCCCTATTGCCTTGACAATGGCTTTTCTTAAGCTTTCAAGTTATCTTGCTGAAGGAAAGCAGAATTCACTTTAGAGTCTATAATTGCTTCCAGAAAAGTTAATACTTGTGTTGTTTATCCTGATATCTAATTTCCTGAATAGAGACTAGGTATGTGTAGGATATGGATTAGTCTTTGAGCCAAACAAGCTCTGATGATATAGATGTCAAAATAAGGGCATACCAGGAGCTCAATATGGTAAAGATAAACTCTTTTCAATCCCAGTCACTTTGGGTTGGATTTTAACCTTACAATCTAGCCCAATTAAGGGGCAGCATTTAGTTGAGCAGGAGCAGGGCACAAACCGGACTGAGATACAAATTCCTAATCATTCCCTGCTTTTCTCTTGCTTGGGGCAGGAGGTGGCATGGGGTGGAGTAAGCTGTGCCATTCCACTTTCCACTCATTCCATTTTGCATCAGTTCAGCTGTACAAAGCCCCACCCACTCCCTGTCAAACTCTGCAGGAGTGGAAGTAGGAGCCTAGTGGCAAGATGGGCAGCCTGAATAAGGGAGTAAGCAGCTCCTTACATCCCCCTTATTTTTCTGCATGGGCATGCACCCACAGAGGGCATGCACTCATTCGTGAGGCCAAGGTAAAAATTGAGGCTCTGCAGATATACTTAACGAAAAGGAGCTGTTGCCCAGTTAGAACATAGGAAACCTACTGTGTGAATCCTAAAGGTCAGGAGAACTGAACCAGTCCTAAAGGAGGGGATTATGCAGACCCTAGAAGCACCATTCAGAACTGGATGCTTCTGATAACTTAGGCCTGGTCTACACTGGGGGTTGGAGGGATTGATCTAAGTTATGCAACTTCAGCTATGTGAATAACATAGCTGAAGTCGACGTACTTAGATCTACTTACCGGGGTGTCTTCACTG